TGCTCAAGTATATATCCTGTGCTTCTCTGTTTAATGTGAATACTTAACGGTCATTTAATTAGTTATTGCAATCTTCAACTTTGTCATCATAATCGATGATTCCTCTGTTTTTAAATTTATTAATGCGTGTTGTTGAATATTTATTATCAAATGTCTTTGTTCTACGAGTATTGACTCAGCTAATGGTAAATTATATGGGTTGTTATTGTAAAATAAGATTTCAACATTGTTGTTCAAAATTAGCCTTGTAATTTTAGTTTTGTGTTTCTCTTTCATGTGATTCTTAATAGCACCAGTTTGTGCATTGTGAGTCTTCTCGACAACTTGGTCGTCATCGTACAAATATATTCAGAATTATGGTGCCCACACTCACCATTATTACATTTGAACGAATATATTAGATATCTATGATCTAATATTATGATTGTATATGACATATATATATATATACATACAAAATTAATATTTGTTTATATGTGAACATTTTGTTCGTTAGTCTGCGCATTAGCAGCTGGAAAATTTGGAACTTTTATTAGTGGATCTTGGGATAATACTGCCAAAGTTTGGTTTAAACAAAAGAATGTTTTGACTTTAGAAGGTATTTTGTTTTTTCTTTAAATTTATATCATCTTTAATATCATTCTTCTCTTTTTATAATTAATTTTAATGGAATTGATGAAATTCGTTGTGATCCTTTTTTTCATTCCAACAACTTTCCATAAACATTAGTTTTACTATTTTTTCTGTCTTCCATTTATTAATAAATATTTTCTATTGCCGTCATGAGGTCTCCAACTTTTTTAGTGCATTTTGGAATAAAATTTTTAAATCTTGTTCGTTCATTTATAATGGTTAGCTCAATATATACCAAGATATCAAAATCGCCATCAGTTTCTCTATGGGATTAAAATGTTTATCAATGTGGAAGTTGTATGTTTAACTACATATTTGCATTAATTGTATGCAATTTATCTTTTGGGTGGTATTTAAAAAATTATTATTTTTTATAGCATTGGACCATTACAAATCCTATAATGTGGAAAAATGATCTAGCTTCGTTAAAGAATGTTTACAGTTGCGTGCAGAGAATAATCTACCTTCATTAATAAAATATACAACTGCAGGTCACGAAGCGGCAGTCTGGACGGTTGCTGTTGTCCCGGTCAGTGGTCACATGATCACTGGGTCAGCTGACAAAACAATTAGAATTTGGAAAGCCGGAAAAGTTGAGAATGTTATTACAGGTAGTTCAATATAATATTTGTTTTTTAGTTTTATTTGAAATTTTACAATTGTATTGGTAATCTATTTTTTTAAATTATTCAAATATAACAAAAACTGTTTTCTGTCAATAAAACCGATTCTATATATAAAACCGAGTCTATCTATATTTTTGAACTCACCAGGTCACACGGATTGCATAAGATGCATAGTAACCCTTGATCCTAACCATTTTGCATCAAGTAGCAACGATACAACAGTTCGCTTGTGGGACATGTCTGGGAACTGTCTCAATGTGCTAACAGGTCACACAAGTTTTGTTTATTCCATTGCTTTCTTGTCTGCTAACTTTGAATTGGTGAGTGGAGGAGAAGATAGGAGCATAAGAATTTGGAAGGATGGGCAGTGTGTGCAAACTATATTTCATCCTGCACAGTCGGTGTGGTGTGTCTCTGTTCTTGCCAACGGAGATATTGTCACAGGATCTAGGTAGATAAAGATTTTTATAGAATTTTAACTAATAAAATCCGTTTTATGTTAAATATATATATATAAATATAGATATATATATATATATATATATATATATATATATATGTTTACAATATTCTATAAATTCTACCGAATGTTTGGCGTTAATATGTTTGTAGTTCGTTTTTTCGATTAATTAACCGACGTAATCTAACAATCGAACAAGATCGCGAGCAGCGACTGCTCCATCTCTCTCGAGAATTAGAAGCCCAACATTTACTCGAAGTTCTGCGACCAACCGACGTAATCTAACAATCGAACAAGATCGCGAGCAGCGACTGCTCCATCTCTCTCGAGAATTAGAAGTTAAAAAGAAGGTAGTTCAAGACTTGTCGAATAATCAAAAAACGAACTACAAACATATTAACGCCAAACATTCGGTAGAATTTATAGAATATTGTAAAAATTACATTCGGTAGAATTTATAGAATATTGTAAAAATTATGGTCTATTACCAATATATATATATATTCATATATATACATTCGGTAGTAATATATATATATATATATATATATGTTGGTAATAGACCATAATTTTTACAATATTCTATAAATTCTACCGAATGTAATTTTTACAATATTCTATAAATTCTACCGAATGTTTGGCGTTAATATGTTTGTAGTTCGTTTTTTGATTATTCGACAAGTCTTGAACTACCTTCTTTTTAACTTCTAATTCTCGAGAGAGATGGAGCAGTCGCTGCTCGCGATCTTGTTCGATTGTTAGATTACGTCGGTTGGTCGCAGAACTTCGAGTAAATGTTGGGCTTCTAATTCTCGAGAGAGATGGAGCAGTCGCTGCTCGCGATCTTGTTCGATTGTTAGATTACGTCGGTT